CTTAGATATATTTCGTTTTCATCCTATTCATACATGTGCGTGCACTGGCCTGAAACGTACAATCAGAGAAACAAGAATCGAATAATGTAAAGGTAAAAAAATAGTATCCATATTATATCGCTCTGCTGATATGTATGTTAAAACAGAAAAACAAAAAACAAAATATGAAAATTATGAAAAGTAGAAACTAGACACGCCCTTTTCTCTTATTGTTTAGACGGTATTAGAGATTGACATGTTATCATCTTTATTTTCATACCAGAATGAAGTTGAATAGTACTATAGTAGTTGCAAAAGTTGTTGTTTGCACCTTTTATTTTTCCCCTTTCCAAATTTTTCAAAATCGTGTAAGTGATTAATAATGAGGTTGTGCGTATTTATCATAATAAATATAATATATAGGTGAGTGTCTTATGATATTTAGAAATCATGTTGTTTTCAATACAAACTAAATACGATAAAATTGTTAATATTTTTTTAGTTGTTTGAATAAATGTCATTATATTGATCGAAAAGATATGAAATAAATAATGGGAAATTTTTAAAGATGTTTCAAAAAAAACGTTTTAAAAATTAATTTCGTATTTTATCAACATATTCTAATAGAACTGATTGATTTTTATTAGATAAAGATTTCGAATGAATTTCGATTAATTTAGAAAAGAAACAAGTTTTTAATTACATCCGAACGTATTCTTTTGTTTTAAATATTTAATTTGTTGAATGATTTTCTAAATGAAATATTTAATAATAAACATCAAATTTAAACAAAAACATGTAAGCAGAAAATAAATGTATAGGTAAAGATAATTTTCTATAAGTATTTTCGATGAATCAGTACATATAAAATGAAGCTACTCATTCTTAGTCAATATCTTCCTCTCTCAAGTGACCTCATTCAACGCGTAAAATTTTATCTTTGAGAACAAACGATATTTTTCCTCAGTCACATGTATTGTTAACAGATTAGTCTGAAAATATTTAAAAAATTGATTTCATCATGTAACTTAATCATTTTTATTAAATATTTATCAACTTGAACTAATTAGAATTTCATAAAAAAAACATTTTTTTCTATTTACAAAAATCTTTCAAATTCTTTGTTCGATCATTTCTTTAATTATTCTAATGCGATAATTTTCTTAACAAATTCAACTTTGAATTGTTAATATGGATGAAAAAGTAAGAGTCACACCTTCAAATCCTTCTTTTTATGAAAAAGACGAAAATTGAATTAAATATGATAAGGAAATTACCAAATACTTATTTTAATTTTTTTGAAAAATAAAAAAAACATCTATTTGCAAGTTTTATTGAAAGAAATCAGGTAAAGATATTTTCATTTTTCTTCCGTCATTCTCGTTTCATCGAAATGTAAATGTTTATAGATTTATTTGAAAATTTCTTTTCATTTATTTCATTTTCACAAATCAGGTTTCAATTCAATTTTTATTTTCAAGCTTTGATCGATTTTTTTCACATTGGTTTTTGTTCTTTCTACTATATATTAATATAATATGAAAGCACCTACCATAAAGAATAAACAACAGGTTGTAGATTGGAAAGAAATAGTATTCTTTGACTAAGAAAAAATTACCGTTTCTTTTTTTGAAAAAGAGAAAATGAATATTTTTTATTTTTAGAGCCAATGAAGAGCGAGTATTTCACTAATTTTTCTACTTTACAACGCATTTTCTCTTCTTTAATATACGTAGAGAAGCTATGAACCATGTAGACGGTTTCATTTGCACAATACGTTCTTATATATAAAGAGAGTGAAATAAATGAGTAAAAAAATGTTGGTTTCTATAGCACCGTTGTTTTGTAGAAGTGACATCGTTAAATCATTCGGTTAATAGCTTCCGCTAAAATATTTTTTGTGAATAGATCATCCATAATTTCTTGGTTCAACTAATTCAATATCGATATGAGTATTAAGATGTATAGAAAGAGAAAAAAGAAAATTATATCGTCTCCTATCTAATCGAAAAGAAAGAAAGTGAATAGAGTTATTTCAAAAGAATCATACTTTGTAATACTTATTGAAATAATCAAACATTCGATGAGTATTATCATAAATACAAAGGAGAGAATAGTTTATACTGTTCAACAATTTAAAAAGTTTTCTTAATGATGTCCTACAAAGTGTTTTTAAATTCAATATATACCAAAAGAAATTTTCTTCCAAATGTTTCATTATCTGATGTTTTAAAGTTTTGCCGCTACTCTAAATGATATTATTTCTGATCTCTCATATAAAATCGAGCGTAAAAATAATATATGAGAAAATTAAACTATTCATTGACAGATGTGTAGTAGGAGTGTTACTTTATCTTCATTTTTCTTTAAATAAAGAATAAGGAATTTTTTTTCTATCGAAATGTACTTTTTTTCTTGCACTAATTCACACACAAAATTATTATATTATATAGTTAACTATAATATGGAATAACATTTTCCGTATGTTGCGTTTCCTTTGTGATTCTTTTTTTTACGAGATGGCATATGAAAATGATGATGATAAGAAAAAGCACTAGCTAACGTATTCTATTGATATATAAGGTATTTGTACATGTACTTATTGCACGACACAAAGTATCTTTATTCTCTACTAGCGAGAGATACCCGATGTTAGTCCAAAACCTTTCAGACCGAAAATTTTCTATGTTAGGAAACTACAAGAAATGCAGAGAGGGTTATGCTTGGAGTTTTTCATCTATCACCACAACATATCCCGTCATACATATCTGAAATAGAACAACTCAGGCTATGGAGCACTCTAAAATCACCCGTTTTTTTACAGGTGGCGTTGCAAAATCGATTATTTTTCTTACACATCCCGCTACAAAACCTGCTCTTACAGACCCCACTACAAAGTCTACCCATCCTTTAACAGTTTTCGCTGCAAAAGTCACGCCTTTTATTACAAAACCCCTCCAACTCTATCTCCGCTTCATTTGGGACCTAAAAAGGCTTAGATTTCAGGTTAAAGTTTTATCTATCGCGAACATGCACACATCCACGACAAAACATGATAGTCCAACGAATATTGTGTGGCAATGATTATCTTACTTCTATGTAACACAACCAGACTAGTGTGAAAATGTAGAGATAGGTGGATACGCTGAAGGTCGATTAAATAAGTTGAACGAAATTAGAGTAAACTTCAGCCACCTTCCGTCTCTCGAATTCTTCTGTACATAGTGAAGTGCTATGGACAGTTGGGTGACTTTAGCTATCGCATAATCACCTGGGAGAAATTTCATCCAGACACCCTCTCTCAATCTCTATCAGTGTCTCCAACTCAAAGGGGAAAGATCGGGAATCCGAATTCCCGAGGATTTCATAGAATAGTTTTGGATTCCAGATTCGTCTCTTTCCTCATTGCCCCAACTTCTCTCATGACCTTCGATTGGACCTTGGAAATCACGATGGAAAGTTTGGTGACGTTAGTTATCACAAGATTAACTGGGTGAAATTTCGTCTAAATGTTCCCTATGATAGCGCTAACATCATCAAACTTCCCACGATACATCTCTAGGTCCAACAGAAGGTTGAGAGGGGGTTGGCGCCATCCGAAGAGGGCTGGGTGAGATTCCATCCAAGCCAGGATATACTACGGTTTTGACTGATTTTCGAGAAAATTTTGAGAGTTTTGACCGATTTTTAGAGTATCCATCTACTACTATTTATTCACGATTGGTGTACGTGTGGCACAAAGGAGCGGGGATGAGTAAAAGTACGGGACGCACATCATCAAAATAGTGTTCGAATAAGATTTCTAAAATAGAGATGAAGTTGAAGCAGGGCTCAATTAGTCTGTACTGAACTTAGAGTTGCAGCGGGATCTGTAGAGAAGCTCGAATGGTACGTAACCGCAGTAGCGTCACCCAAATATGCATGGCGGACATGTGACGGTAATAGACGCAAAGCTTTCAAGCATACCCCTGTCTATATCTGTTCTTTCCCAATCTGCCAAGTATACAATATGGACGTTTCTCAACTACCACCAAGTGTCTCCGCTGGTTCTTCATAAAAGAAAAATATAGTGCAGATAAAGTAATAACCCTGATGCGTATCCTATTCAGTTAGAGCGCGATACGTCCGCACAAGAATGTAGATGTAGAGACGAGAGTGGGTGCGAGTATTTCTTAGGCATACACCCTCACTCATACCCCTAAGAAGAAGTTTAGCATAATATTAAAAATAAAATGAAGACTTGCGGTTGCTACGTAAACTGATGAGCAACAAGTAGAAGCGTTACTGATAAGACTCGATTGAACTCTTGACTCAAAACAGGTCGCACATGTGCATGTAGCGCGGCAACGTTTCATCCTTCAATGCCCCATTGCCGTTCAAGAAACCATCATCTTGAGGATGTGGGTGTGTAAATGAGGACTATTTTATCCCTACATCTACATCCACACCCACACCCAAAATGGTTTGCATGATGAAGAAACAGAATACAGTAAATATATTGTTTTTTCAATTTTTCAGATTATTTTATTATGAATTTCATAGCTGGTCTTCGGACTATCAAAGAATATCTTAGTAGCTTGAATCTTTTCGAAAGTTCAGCTGGTCTAACTAATCCAAATCGTTTGCGTACTGAAATTATATCAACTCGAATATATATTGTTCTTGCAACTATTGCTGTATCTATACTTGTTTTGTTTACTGCTTTGGAAGACACAACACAAAGCAATACTATTCGAAATCCATCTCAAGATACTTTTAATCAATTCTATTCCGAATATTCAACAACACTTCAGTGTTCATGTAGTCAAGTAGAAATACCATACAAAACTTTAATTAATATATCATACAAGTTACATCCTGTATGTTCAAGTGTATTCATCTCCGATTCTTGGATCAATCTTCTATTTAGTCCTGATATGACGTATTACTATCCCATAGATTTTCGTTCATCTGGTAATGGCCAATTTCAACTTCTTGCCTCACTCTGTTTATTTGCTAATCAAACATTAAACAATGCAATTGATGATTTTCTTTCTGATTTTCTCTTGAGTCCACTGACTCTTTCATCAACATCATTCAAAAATCAAAGTGAAGCAAGTGCCGAATTTTTGAAAACTTCGACAACCTATACATTTCGTCGTCTTCTAAATCTGGTGCGTGATACAAGTCTAATGAATGGTTTACAACCAGCAATGCAAACATCATCGATGGAATTATTAGAGTATTTTTCCAATGGCACGCTGTCTGCATTTCCATATGCAACGATTTGGTATGGTGATTATGAAAGAAAATGTTTTTGTGGTATTACTTCAGACTGTTATGAACAAGCTGCCTTTTTTGATTTATATGCATATGAAACACATGGAGTTTTTAAACAATTAGATTCTCTCGAAAATGTAACCGGATTTCTAGTTGGATGTTATGCCTTTGATGCACTTCTTCAATCATCACTTATTTGTTTCTTCGATTCTATATGTCTAAATAATATCTTAACGTATTTTCCAACAATTAATATTACTAGTGATGATATTCTTAATATTAATCAGACACAGTTTGAACCCAATACAACCATTGAAACACTTGCTAATAATTTATTTATTGAAGATTGGACAGCAGAATCTTTGTTTAGTGCCTATTATTCTAAATGTGCTCCAATTCTTTGTATCTATACATTTACGGAACGCAACAGCTTTCTACAAGTTTTAACAACTTTATTGGGTGTTTATGGTGGACTTACAGTTGCGTTACGTATGTGTATTCCATATGCTGTCCGTTTCTGGCGTTATCGCAAGGTTGCGAATCGAAATGAACGTAAGAAAGATCGTGTTCCTTGTTACATCAAATAAATTAAAATGTCTTTTTTTTCAGTTACTATATTGCAGCGTCTTCGAAATGCACAGAATACGATGAAGAATAAAATTATTGAATTGAATCTATTCAAAACAGCTACAGCACGTACTAATCCTTTTGAACTAAAGACTACAAAAATTATTACTTATGTCTATCTGATTACAATGCTACTTGCTCTAAGTATTGTAACCATTTATTTATTGGCATCAACTCAAGTCCGTACTGAAACTATACAAAATCCATCTCAAATGATTTTTGGAAATTTAAATGAGAAATATATGAGTACACTACAATGTCCATGTAGTTCCATTGCTAATTCTTATGAATTATTTACTTCATTATCACCTACGTTTCATCCTATATGTTCAAGTTTATTTTTATCTGATGATTGGATTGTTTCTATATCGGATATGAATATACTGTATGCAGCATATGATCCATTAGATTTTCGAGTAGCTGGTCCAATCTTTTTCAACGCTATGCACACATTATGTTCTCTTTCAAACATAACTATTTATGATACTTGGTACGAATTTAATCAATCACTATTAATTACTAATTTAGTAGTAACGGAATCAGAATTTGAGACTCGAACAAATGTGACAATTGAACAATTTCAAGAAAATACATTAAATGAATTTAAACGTATTCTCTCACTTGTTGATTTACATGCAAAAACTATGTATAATGTGGGATATGACAATCTTGAGCTTTATACTAATCAACTAGCTACTAGTATAACACAAGTTGATTTTCGTTGGGAGCCAGTAGAAACAGATACATGTTCATGCAGTCCTAATGGTCAATGTACTGATGTAATGAGTTTCTTTTATTATACTGGTCTTGATAATACCTCACCATACTATCTAAACTTTACAATATCTGATCTACAAGTTGGTTGTTACGTATTACCGAGTGCTCTTAATTCTACACTTTCATGTTTCTTTAATCAAACATGTTTAGACATGATTAAAAATGTGATAGAAAATGAGGTAAATCCTGTTCGATTTGATGATGTGCCAATTCTCGATATAAATAGTACTCGATTTCCACCTCATACTCGTATCCAAATAATACTTGATAATCTTATGATTGAAACATGGAATGAAAAGATCAGTTATGAAAAATACTATGAGAAATGTGCACCAGAACAATGTACATATACATATACTTCCCGAAATAATCCTATTCAAATAATTACTACACTCATTGGGCTGTTTGGTGGCTTATCAGTTGCATTGAAAATTATTGTTTCATTGATTGTTCGTCGGATACGAAATCGAATGCGTCCACATGAAGAAACAAATGTCGTAACAGGTAGGATAATATATAGAAATAGATTATTAATTATTATGTGCGAATAATAACACTAATCAAATCCTTTTTGACAGGAAAAGTTTTGCGTCATGTTTAATATAAGTATCTGTTATGACTAACTGACTATTTCAATCTTTTCTCGTCCCCTATGCTTTAGAATTCAAAGAAATAATTACACAAATGATGTATTTATTTTAGATCAACCTACAACAGTTCGTAACGTTACAAATATTTGGCTTATATTAAAAACTAAGTTATTAAAACTGAACTTATTTGAAAGTGAATTATCATGGGATGACGAGCAACGGCAACGAAGAGAAATTATTATTACACGTGCTTATCTATTATTCCTCATGATTGCCGTTGCCATTCTAGTTATGTACACATTTATTGACACACAAACTAAAATAGTTAAAATTCTTAATCCATCTCGAGATAAATTTGATCAACTTCGATTAAATCCTCAATATTCAACAACACTTGATTGTCCTTGTACAAGTATTATTGTTTCTTATAACTCATTTATTTCAATTAAACCCTATTATCATCAACTATGTTCAAGTGATTTTGTTGTAAACAGTTCTACTTGGATTTCTTTGATTTATTCGTATACCGCAGGTATTGACTATTCATATGATGATTATCGTCAGTTTGCTCCGTCGCATTTCCAATTACTTTCAGGACTTTGTTCACTTGCGAATGATACAGTGAATGCAGCAATAACTGAATTTTCACGAAATACAATAATTAATGAAAGAGTACAATCTCAAGAATCTATCAAAGCACAAACTGATATTATTCTTTCTCAATTTCTTTTATCAACTCCTCGAACATTTACATTAACTCTTGATTTCATTCGATATATAAATCAAGGGAATGGTATTGTTTCATCAATTTTTTCTAATTGGCATTTTCTTTCACTAGATACGGGATTTGAATATGCTGCTCTGTGGGCTGTGCCACATGCTTATAATGATAATAGTTGTATTTGTGGTACAAGTTCAATGTGTATCTCACAAGCTTCATTTAGTGGAATAACTATTCCTGGTTTGCATGTGGGATGTTATCCACTTGAATCACTTCTTCAATCAACACTTGAATGTCTCTATAATGTAACATGTATTAATCAACTCAAGTCTATGTATACACATTCAAATATGATATTTAATCCATTAAATGATACTTTATCGTCTCGTAATACTACAGTTCAATCTATAGTCAATAATCTTCTAGTTGAAAGATGGGAAACTGAAGTAGTTTATGAAAATTATTATGCAGCATGTACTCCTCTTTGGTGTACATATACATTTGATGGACAAATAAGTCCAATCTATACAATAACGACTATTATTGGTCTTTATGGTGGTTTGACAGTCGTATTTAAACTTATTACTCCTATTATAGTACGAATTGGATATTATATAGTTAGGTATCGTCGTCGACGTGCCAATCAAGTTGTGACTGTAATGACAATTGATAAGTTTAAGTCACTTCGAAGTATACATCTTCATATTGGAAAAGAAGAAAACTAATGATGGTGAAAAGTCATGAGTAGGGACTGAATAATCGCTGATTGATAATAATTCAGCTAGACACTCTAAAGACGAAATAGAACTTTCGATAACTAACGAAAGTCACTACTGAGAATTTTTTGTTTACAGATGCGAACGTCTCCATGATAGTGTCAGTATTCTTCTCATTTATCATCGGCCTTCATTTTAATTGTTTATAAGAAGTTCTAGTAGCACATGATTAACTATGTGTTCCATCGTATAGTTTCATCTTGCTTTAGGTACACGCTGAAATTAAAATAATAAATCGAATATATAAACAAAACTACATAAGTTGATTTAAGTAATACACCTCAACTAAATTCATTAGTTGCAGAAAAATGTATTTTACAAATAGCAACAGAATATTGGAATAATATTGATATATGTAAACATTTATCTCGAAAAATTCGTTCTTTAAAATTAGTTAGATTTATGAGAAGATCACAATCTATAAGTAGAAATGAAATTGAACAAATTACTCGAATATTCTCATCAAAATGTCAACATTTATCATTATATTTTAAATTTCCAGATGATAAAATTAGTTTTATTTTACAAAATATGCCACAATTATATACTCTACATGTTAATATTTATGGGAAAACTTATTCTACGCTTGATATTAAATGGTTAGAAAAACAACAGACTACATTCAATGCTTCAAATTCTACTATAGTTATAAATGGACATGATCATTATTTTTGGTTAGACAAAACTTTACTGAAAAAATGATTTTCATCTTCTTTTTATTTTATTAATAAAACTATTGTACATTACACGAACGAAAAGTACAGTGACTACTAAAATTACTGATTTCAATATCGAGAAAATTGTTTTCTATAAAAATTCAAAGAAGATAGTGATTGTAGTTCAGTTTCTGAGAAAATGAGATGTTCCCGAACTTTTTACTATCTTCCATTCAAAAATTATAAGTATTGCAGAAAGCGAAATTTATTAGAAAATCCTCAGAATTGATGTATATCTTTTGATAGACGACAAACAATAGCTAAATTAGAACAATGAATTCAATTGAGTTTTATTAATTATTAAAAATATGTACAATAAATATTTTAGATTTGTCCTCTTCCTCCATCCATAAAAAGTTCAATGCCTGTAATATAACTGCTATCATCTGAAGCAAGAAAAACTGCAGCTGTAGCAACTTCATCGGGAGTACCAAATCGATTCATAGGTACAGTAGCTATTAGATCTTTGATGAAAGTTGTTTTTATCGATTCACTACTAGCCACATATTTAAGCATTCCAGTTTTGATAGTTCCAGGACTTAAAGTATTAACGCGGATGTTCCGTTGTTTTAAATCAACTGACCAACATCGAGCAAAAGAACGAATAGCTGCCTTTGATGCACTGTAGACACTTGCCGATGGATGACCTTTAATAGAAGAGACAGAACCAATAAGTATGATTGATGCGCCATCAACTAATATTGGTAAAGCTTTTTGTACGGTAAACAATACTCCTTTTACATTGATGTCGAATGTATCATCGAATTGTTTTTCAGTAATTAATTCAAGTGGTGCAACTAAACTAATACCTGCATTAGCAACAACGATATCCAACCGTTTTTTTTCTTTCTGAATGACATGGTATAGTTTATCAAGATCTTCCATATTTGACACATCGCCTTGAACTCCTGTTACATTTGCAGTATCGATCCTTTTTACAGCTTCGTCAAGCATCTCTTGTCGACGTCCAGTAATGAAAACATGTTCTGCACCTTCAACAATAAATCGTTGTGCAATCGCCAAACCAATACCTTCAGAACCACCGGTAATAAGAGCGATTTTTCCATCAAGTTTACCCATATTTCTTCTTGTACTAAATAATACGTATTTATCAATGAAAATACTTGTCAGTTATTCATTCATCTCTTACAAGTGACATGATAACATTTTATAGTTGATCGTGACTCATGAAAAGATAAACGTCATACTTATTTTAAATATCTCGTTTTTCGTCGACACATATTTCATTGATAAGCATTTCGTGGACAGAATATTTAATGAATAAAATTTTTCGCCGATTATTATTAATCATCTTCATAATAATTTAAATGTGGGCGTGAATTCATCTAAATAACACTGTATATATATATATATATATATATATGTATCTAGATCTAACAGTGATATCAGTTTTTTCTTTTTTGAAACTAAAAAAATTTGTAGTAGACAAAAAGCATGATGAATAATAATGATTGTACTATGACAATATCTTCTACTCAACGGACGCCTTGTGGATTAGATCGGGCTGAATCATCTTGGTTACGATGGCTTTCTGTTGCATTTTGGTGGTGGGTAAATCCAATTATAAATATTGGTTCTAAACGTCAATTAACTGACAATGATTTATTTGATTTATCATCAAAAGATGAATGTAATCAATTACTCAAGAAACTTGAAACAGTATGGGAGGCATATGAAAATAAATCTGAACATATTAAAACATGGAAAATAGTTGCAAAAACATTTTGGAAAGATATTGTACGAATTGGTTTAGTTTTATTACCATATCTTGCTTTAAAAATAGCTCAACCATTATTTTTAAAAGGAATTGTTCATAATATTAATGATACAAATGCATCTTCATATATAGGATATATATATGCTATTGGAATTGGACTTACAAAAACTTTTTTAGTATTAATGCATCATCAATTTTTTTTCCGTACAAGACGAATTGGAATTCAAATACGTATTGCACTCGCAGCTTTTATTTATAAAAGATTATTATCATTACCAATAGCAGCAATTAAAGAAACAACAACAACAACAACAGGTCAAATGTTAAATTTAATTTCAAATGATGTTAGTAAATTTGAACACTTATGTGAATATATTCATCAATTATTCATAGGACCATTAGAAGCATTGATTGTTTTTGGTTTAATTTGGAATGAAATTGGTATTCCAACTTTGTTTGGTTATACAATATTATTATTACAAATACCATTACAATTATATTTTAGTAAAAAATTTCGAATATACAGAAAAAATACAATGAAATGGACTGATGAACGTATAAAACTTACGAATGAAATATTAGTCGGTTGTCAAACTATTAAAATGTATAGATGGGAAGAAGCATTTGAAAGTATTATACATAAAACAAGAAAGAAAGAATTTCAAAGTATACATAAAGCAAATCGTCTTCGAGCAATTAATTTTTCTATTTATTTTTCATCATTATCATTAATTTCATTGGCTACATTTGGTGGTAGTTGGTTAATGGGTCAAACATTATCTAGTGCAAATATATTTACAATTTTATCATTTTTTAGTTTAATGAGAAATCCAATAGCTATTGGTATTCCTAATGCTATTGAATTATTAAATGAAAGTATAATATCATCAAAACGTATTGATCAGTTCATAAATTTAAGGAAAAAGATTATTTCCACTAATACATTACAAGAACATTGTAAATGTATACCAGGTAGTATAGTAATGAATAAAGCTTCATTTACATGGAGTACTAGTCAATCGATTCAATTAATTGGAATTGATTTAAATTTAACTTCTGGTTCATTAGTTGGTATTATAGGAGCAATTGGCTCATCTAAATCATCACTTTTAGCAGCTGTATTAGATGAAATGTGTCTTGTTGAAGGTATTAGTAAAATATATGGTAAAATTGCATATGCACCTCAAATACCCTATATATATGCTGGTACAATACGTGAAAATATATTATTTTTTAAAAGTTTTAATAAAAAAAAATATGAATGTGTATTAAAATCATGTTGTTTAATTCCTGATTTGCAATCATTTTCAGCTGGTGATTTAACAATAGTTGGAGAGAAAGGAATAAATTTAAGTGGAGGACAAAAAGCTCGTATCTCACTTGCTCGAGCATTATATACCGATGCTGATATTTATTTATTTGATGATCCATTAGCAGCAGTTGATTCAATAATTGCTAGAGATATTTTTCAACAATGTATTAGTAATGAAGGTATTTTAAATAAAAAAACACGTTTATTAGTTACACATCAAATACAATTTTTATCTGAATTTGATCATTGTATTTTATTTGATCATGGTAAAATAGAAAAACAAGGTTCATTTAAAGAATTATTAACAATTAATAAAATTAAACAATCTTATGACAATCAACAAAAAAATATTAATAATAATGAAAATGATATTGATATTTCTATAAAATCATCAAAATCGAAAATAATTGATAAAAATAATATTATTGTTGAAGAAACATCTAATGATGGAACCATCAATGCTTCTGTTTGGATTAAATTATTTACTTCTCGTTATGGTTGGAGTGGATTAATATTATTGATTATTTCAATATTATTAGGTGAAGGTATTTATGATACAACTAATAAATGGTTAAGTATATGGTCATCAAAATTAGAAATAGAACAACGTCAAAATCATTATTTTTATATATATTTTGGATTAGTTCTTGGTACATTAATAATTGCAATATTACGTGCTAATTATTTTTTTCATATTATACTACATGGTGCATCTATCTTTCATAATAATATGTTAAAAGGTGTTCTATATAGTTCATTAAGATTCTATGAAAGTAATCCAATTGGTCGCGTATTAAATAGATTTAGTAAAGATCAACAAATTCTTGATGAATTATTACCATTAACATTTTTTGATGCACTTCAATTAACAATTATGTTATTAGGTAGTATCGTTATTATTGGTATGACAAATCCATGGATATTATTAATACTAATATTTATTATTCCAGCATTTCTTTGGTTAAGAAATATTTATTTAAAAATAAGTCGAGAAATTAAACGATTGGATAGTGTAAGTAGAAGTCCTATTTATGCATTATTTTCTTCATCGTTGAGTGGATTAATGACTATTAGAACATTTAAAGTTACAGATGATGTTCTTACTTCATTTATGACTAAAATTGATGCTAATACACGTGCAGTTTTCATATTCCATAGTTTAAGTAGATGGTTTGGTTTAAGATTAGATTTATTGACTTGTTGTGTAACATTTTTAACAGCAATTCTATCTGTAGTTTTACGTCAAAGTCTAGATGCTGCTTCTGTTGGATTAGGTTTAACATATGCTATAAATTTATCAGATATATTTCAATGGGCAGTGCGTCAATCAGCTGAAACAGAAAATTATATGACGAGTGCAGAGAGAATTGATGAATATTCTCGTATTCCTATGGAATCAGATTTTTACAATGGAGAGTTACAACCACCATCTGATTGGCCAATGGAAGGAAAAATTGAATTTGATGAATATAAACTCAGTTATCGTTCCGAACTTGAACCTGTTTTAAAAGGTATAAATTTAAAAATTGAACCATATAACAAAATTGGTATTATTGGACGTACGGGTGCTGGTAAATCATCTATTTTTCAAGCACTTTTTCGTTTAACTGATAAATCTACAACAAATGGTAAAATATTAATTGATGGAATTGATATAAACAGAATTAGTTTGAATGTTTTACGATCGAATTTAAATATTATTCCACAATCTCCGGTATTATTTAGTAATACACTTCGATATAATTTAGATCCATTTCAGTATTTTACAGATGAACAATTATGGAATGTATTAGAAGCAGTTCAATTAAAAACAAAGATTAATAATTTGAAAGATAAGTTAAATACAGTAATAGCAGAATATGGAAATGGTTTTAGTGTTGGTGAATGTCAATTAATATGTATAGCAAGAGCAATTCTAAAAAAAAGTAAAATTTTATTAATCGATGAAGCTACAGCACATGTTGATACAAAAACAGATCAAACAGTTCAAGAAATTTTACATAAAAAATTTACAAATCATACTATATTGATTATTGCACATCGTCTAAATACAATAATGGATAGTGATAAAATTGTTCTTATAAATGATGGTATTATAACAAAATATGAAACACCTAGAGAATTACTTACTGATATGAATGATGAAGATCAATCAAATACCTATTTATAATATTGAGAATGGAATCGTCTGTTTATCACTCAATCCCATCCATTTCTTCAAAATAATGTATCTTTATACAAATAAACAATAAAATTATATATAAAAAAAAGTGAAAATGCTCGTTACTACTTTGAGAACTATTTTTAAACAAATGAATATATAGAATTTTTATGTTTTTGAAACATAATTAATTGATGATCTATTATACAAATTAAAAGTGAATGTGGGTATAGGATATTGTCAATTGTTTTTAGAAGTTCAACTCGTATCGTTTGTTATTCAGAAGAGAATAAAAAAGAAATTAAATTGCTGTATCAATCCAATAGTCATCGGCAAGCGTAGCTACTTTCTCATCGTAGCCGAAATCGATCAAAAATAGTCGAATGATATTGTGTGCTGCTACACATTGAGTTTCCATCGTACTAATAAAACTTTCAAATGCATTAACATAATATAGACCTTTGTCAGGATTGATTGGAGGAAAGATCGTATCATTTCTTGGTGGTGCTCGAGGATAAGCATACCACATTTTTCTGTATATCCAGCCGATATTTGCCCGACTACCAACGATTTCTACGAGTTTGGAATCGTCTAAATAATTGGGACTGAATAATTTGACAAGACGCTCATTGCGTGGATAGAGAAGTGTAGAAAAGTGCATCGATTCTACATCGAGATTGAGATTAAGATTGTTAGTACTATTCTGACGTTCACGATATCGAGTGACAAGAAGAGAAATAGGAATATTCATTTTCATATAAGAAGAGCCTAAATGAGTGGCGTTCGTTGTAAATAAAGTTACATGCTGTTGAACATAGTCGACTTTAGTAATTTTATCCCGTACGTCTGAAAATAATGATTTAAAATGGCTAATAAATATTTCAAGATCCTTACTAATCAGTTCAATATTTGAGTGATGCGGTGGTGTGGCAAGAATAACAGCGTCATATTTGTTCGATGAATCTGTTGTCATTACAGTCCACTTCCCATTCCGTGTGTTCTTGCTGATTTTTGTAACTTTCTGATTCATTTTTAACTTCGCTGAACTTGCTTTGATCATGTTTTCTACAAAAAATAAATTGATTCACATAGTCAGATATAGGATTCAAAAGATGTTTTATTGAATAACGTTATAGAATTTTGAATTTTAGTGTCACTGTACAAGAGTAAAAGTTAAACTAGAAAATAATGTGTTCTTCGAAGTCGAGTAAAACTGAAATATTCAATTTCAATGAAGCAATTCCCTCATACTTACCAAAAATTCTATAATTTCCTCCTTTAATCGATTGACCTCTACCAGCCATAGCTATTATAGTCATAACTGCATGAAGTTGCGTTACTTGTTGTCCATAAGTTCCTTGTGTAAGACTATCAACAAACTCATTGACAGTCATTTCATCCACCCCGTTATTCACAAGAAATCTGAAGCCAGATTCATTGAGTTGTGGTTTTAAGTCTATTGCTTTGACGTAGGCTGCAACGGTTCGAAATGGTCCGTTCAATAGTTGAAAATTTCGTTGATAAAGACGAAGAAAATGGTGAACACTGGTTTCAGTTAACATGTTCAATCTCGTAAGAGATAATAGATTGTATCTAGACATGGAAATATATTGTTAGTTAATCTTACTTTTCGTTACGGTAAATACATACCTAGAACTTACATTATCCATGTCAACAAGTATTGTTTTCCCATTATAAAGATAACTTACATGATTGTCATCAATGATACGATATGCTGGATTCAAACCAAATTGTTCAATGGCACGTACCAGATGTAAATTGACAGAAGCATATATTGAGGCACCTATCTCAGCTGGATCGTATTTTGAATCGTTATAAGGATGAATAAGCGCTGCTCGACCTCCCACTTTGGACTCTTTTTCATAAACTGTTATTTCTACTTTATCTCTGTCACCTAGAGTGAGAAGTTGTTTGTGGAGGAAAAAAGCTGCTGAAGATCCAGCTGCACCAGCACCAATAATCGCTATATGCCGTACTATTGAAAACAAAGAAAACAATGTTGTCACTGTTATTTAAATGCTTGTTCATAAAATACTTCCTCTTTTAGATAAAAGAGAAAGTAGTAAAAACTACATAAATCAATCATCTTACTTTCCTTTTTTGATATACTTCTATGTCCCAATTTGAATCCGACAATGAATGCAAAAATCAATAAAACAACGGCAATGATAGTGCCGACAATCCATTTCCATTTATTCATTTATTGTAGATATTTCACGAGCGATTGCAGAGCAAATGTTTTGAATGTAATGACTTACACAGACTTTATATACAGAAAATATCTTCTTCTTGATATTTGTTCTCTTTCAGAGCGAACGAAGAGAAAATATATGTCTGATGGTAGTATAAAAGAATCAAAAATAACAAGAGTACATATTCTTCCTTGTCTTGAGATGCATAAATTAGATTATCTTAATTCCTTTCATCAACATATCGGCTACTAGATATTTTTTTTCTTTCTTTATGCTGTTGTTTACAATAATATCATGAGTTTATCAGTACTTTTATACAATGTACGACATTGTAAGAAGGACAGAAACGTTAAAAACATTGTTATAAATTTGGGTGTGTTGATTATCTCTATTCTAGTTAATGGTGTTTTTGATTGTTGCATAGTACGCGTGAAAAGAGAGAAAATCATTTGCAGTTTTCATTTTTATTTGTCACTTAATAATTCCTGTCAAATTGATTTTAGCGATACTCCTATTTATAGAAGAAAAACATGGATAGAGTATGAGTATGATTTTACGATGACTATTTTGTTTTAATCGAAAATTTTTCTTCGACTTTTAATAAATTTAGAATCAATAAAAGTTAATGCAATGACCAAAGATTTTATTCTTTTATTATCATTTGAAAATAAAAACTACTTGTTATAAAACACCTAGTGTCATATCTGTAAGATAAAATTGATAACTAGAAAAACAGAAATGAATTTTGTGTTAAAAAAATGCTCTATCAAGTAGAATAATGCTGATATATATTTTATTTAAAAAAAAAGATGAACATAAAAAAGCTTGTCTTTAAAAAAATCTTCATTATTCTGCACTTTCATCATAATGTTTAGCACCATCAATCTTTTTTTCCCATTTCATCATTTCCTTACAAAATATTTGTTTTATTGGACATGGCAATTGATCAATTTTATCACTAAATAAACTTAATTTAATAGTTAGTATGTTCGGTGAGTTTGACCTTTTTCCATAAATAGGACTTCCACATTGACTGCAGAAATAACGTTCTAATAAATTCTTTGATTTTGTGTTTTTATCATCATATTTTTTTATTAATGATTTTGAATCTAATACAACAACTTTATCTTCAGGTAATCTAAGACCATATGAACATAATCCACCTCCAGCACGTTTACAATTTTCACAATGACATAAGTATGCACCATTTGATATATCATTTAAAGATTCACGTTCAATTTTAACTTTTATTTCACCACAAAGACAATGACCAATAAGTTCACTGGATGCTGATGACGAAGACATATTAGTGAAGATAACGATAGAGAATGATTTGTATAATTCGATATAATAGAAATGAAGTATTACGTAAGAGCGTCTTATATATATATACGAGAATATTCTTCGGTACTATTCTTTATTTTACCTCGAAGGTCGTTAAGAACGATATGAAATGGAGAACGCAAAAGAAAAAAAAAACATTACTAGTACAGAAAAGAACGGACCATAGTGATAAAAGAAACTGTAAGGATCACAATCGAATATATATCTGATTTATATAATCAACAAAATTCAATAGAGATATTTATATTTAAATTTTCTTTGTTTCATATACACGATTGGTAGATTATTGATCTATAGGAAAATACTAATTCGAAAATTGATTATAATAGTTGGTAAAAACCGAAATCAACATAACAAAAACATTGATCGAAGGATCGACTATAGATTATTCATTCTGTTAACATAAAATCTATAATATATTAGAAGACATTCTTATAATCTTTGATTGCATATAGACAAAATGAAAATTTCTAAAAATAAAAATAAGGTATTATTCTTAAAGTTGATCCATTACAATAAACAAACAAAAGGTTTTATTTCCTATTTTATTTTTATTGATTTTGGTTTTTTAAAATATATATTGTATAATACTTCATTATACAAATTTTAAATTATTTTCTATTGACATTTATTTTAACTACTTTTATCAATACCAAAAAATTTATATTCCTCTTTTATTTGTGAGAAAAAAATTAATACATAAAATGTATAGTACTTGATAAAAATCGCCAATTCTTTTATTTTTAATTTTAATCATCTGAGTACATCAATAAGTTTTCACTTATATCTATCACAATAAGAAATGAATCATAACTATTATTTTTTTTAGGAAACACATTTTAGTAAAATTTACTAGAAGTAAAAAGAAAATTTATTTGAATATGACCGTAAATGATGATAACATGTACATTTAGACATAGTCACATTCTTACATATACATATCTATATTAATTTAAATCATTACATTCGCCTACATCCTAACTTATCTTTTTTGATGATAGACCTGATAAGCCACAAGTAAAACGCATTCTAATTATTTTCTATGTTAAAAAATACTTTGTTCAAATTATCATTTTTCTATTCTCTCTTCTAATTCTAATTGTTAGTCAGAAAACTATTATTAATGTTTCTAGTGTTTTCTACAGTTATGAGCAACTTTTATCCTATAAAAACACATTTTTGGTTCATTAATGCATTTTTCTACATACTTTTTAATAAATATCTTGTTAAAAAAATTCAGTGTTATTATGTATGTGTTTAAGTCGAAAGAACAATAATATTGACGACAACGTGTAACAAAAAAAAATAATAATATTATATTTATCTAATGAAAAGCGATATCAAAATCTCTAATTACCTATCAAGTACAATATTTAATACATTTAAAAAAAATACAATAAGTTTTGTAAGTTCATTGAAAAAAAATAAATTTGCTAAATATTAACTTGCTATTAATTAGCAATTATGAAGTAGAACTAAGATGAGTAATATAAAACGTTCTTCAAGTGCGTTAATGCAAAGAATAAATAAATACTCGCGAGGATAGTGATTCAGCATACGAAAAATATTAAGGTATAGAGTATGGTTGCAAATCGTATTATATTTTTTTTGATATGTAGAAAGAGAATAGACTTGAAAATATCTTACCTCTAATAATGAATGTTTGACGTCAGATAGAGATGCATCCAATCAAAACAGATAAAAACGATATTCGAATAATACATGTACAGAAAAAAAAGAATGCACTCAATATTAGTTTTATTTTATCATGATTTTTTTTCTTTTATAATCGATAATTATACTTATAAATACCCAAAAAAGATTGCTACATATTCAGTATAGGAAACGAATATTACCAAGTAAGTACGATGACACATTTAAGCGAGACATCGGATATTTTTACAATCGATTTCATGAGATGAAAAACTGTAGGTAGTAATTTTTGTTAATACTTACTTTGTACCTTAGTCTGTGATGCTTCATAAATCGATTAAAGTTTTTCACTTCTGAAAATTATATTACACATTTAATACTTACGTAGATCTTTTTTATCAGGGAAATACAGTATATTTTAGTATAGATAGTGTATTTGAGTGCAAATAAATACATTAAAGTACAGTTTTGTCATTTATTTATATTGACTTGAATTCATTTTAAATGAAAATTCAGAATATACAACAATAATTATAGTAGATACTCGCTTATTGTAATTTAAGCATTTGAAACAAAAAAGAACCTTGTTTTTTCACGATATTATTATGTATTTATAGAATTTATATACTAAACGTAGTAAGCAAATTACACTAAGGCTTAATATTTATCATTGAGTATTAAATGAGATTTTAGACAAATTAGATGATTGATTTATTATAAGAATTTAAGTACAGATCCATCTGATTCATTCTCATCTATTTTACAGTTGATATTATTCACGGGATATATTCCGATGTATATAAAAAAAGAAGTAAAGTATTCTAAATATCTGTACACTGATGTAGAACTTAGTAAATATTGTGAATTTTAATTTAGACTATTAGATCACTGGTAAGATAATTTGTTTCTATTGAAAATCATTCTCATTTGATATCTCTTGTTTTGTACGATTACACTTCAATCAGTCTAATTTCAGATTACAACTGAAAAAATTCTGTTTTCAATGGATACGAAGAATACGAATAGTATTCTTTTACCTGATTTACTGAGTACTTGTCCATTCAAACCTGAATGCAATCCAGCATTTGAATTAGTATCAGATGCAGCAGAAGCTTGGGCTAACTCATATGGTATTCCGTACAAAGAAACGACATACAATTGTAGTCTCGCGGCATCACTATGCATGCCGCATTGTAATCAATCTAGGTTACGTGAAATATGCGATTTATTTGTGGTACTTTTGCTGACCGACGATATTCTAGATAGTGCACCTATTTCAAAAGGTGCCGATCAGTCTAAACAACAACTATCTACGAATATGATGGAATCTTTGCAGCCAGCCGGTTCATTCAAACCATTAACACCATTCGCTGCCGCTCTTCATGATTGTTGGCAGCGAATTCTCATCAATATTACACCTGGTTGTCGAGAGCGTTTCCTCACCCACTTTCGAACATCTAATGAAGCTTCACTTCTTCAAGCTGCCAATCAAAAGAATCATCGAATAGTTCCTGATTTAGAAACATACATTAGATTTCGTCGAGATACAAGCTTTGGACTTGTGGTGTTAAACTGTATTGAGTACAGCCTCGAGCTTGATTCACTTGATGAATGTTGGAAAAATGATACATTCAAATGTTTTGTTGATTATGCAATTGATACCTTCTCTTGGACAAACGTAAGTTATTCGTCTCAAAATGAGCTATTTTCAGGCGTGAGGAATTAAGCATAATTCAAAATGATATCTTCATAGTCAATAATATTGAGTTATTATGTATTTATAAAGCTAAGATTCGAAAAAATCTTCAAGCTAGAGAAACACTGTTGTTTTCTTTCTTCTCAAACTACATATTAAATTATGTTCCTTATTAAGTTGCTATCTTACTTTTTACAACAGGATATTTATTCATTCAATGTTGAACAATCGCGAGGTGACTACAGTCTCATCACAATACTTATGCACGCTGATCCATCGCTGAATATTCAACAAGCTATAGATCGAGTTGGACAGATGATTATCGGTCGTTACGCTGATCTCCAGCGTGTTCGAAGTGAATTAATCTCATGGGGACCTAAAATCGATACTCAAGTGGAAACATTCGTCAATGGTTGTACTGCCTTAATTATTGGGAACGCAGTGTGGAGTTTCGAAACGCCTAGGTATTTTGGTACAAAGAGAGAAGAAGTCAAGAGGACGAGACGTGTTACATTGCTAGCACCTATGCAGGAAAATCTCACTAAAGCATTAAGTAAACAAGAGGTAGAAAAAAAGCAATTTTAAATGTAAATATAAATGTATCTAATTTTATAGACAAATTCAAATGGCAACACAACTGAAGATGTTTCTTCTCAACAGACTATTCACCAAGGTAATTTATAAAGTGCATAGAAATCTCATATTGTATGTTGTAAAAATATTTGTTTGGAAGATTTTAATTACAATCAACCAATATCTATAATTGAAGAAATTTTTTATTATTTTATATTATTTGTTAATTCTAGATCAATCAACTTTCAACAGCATATCAAATGCTAAATACATGGTTTTAATAATTTTTTCAGAAGATATCTAAAAAATTATTTTTATATTTAGGACAAACTTTTGCAACCATATGATTACTTGAAATCTTTACCCGGCAAAAATATTCGAACAAAATTGATTCATGCACTCAATTACTGGTTCAGAACATCTGAAGAAAAATTAATTATTATCGATGACATTATCGATAAACTTCACAATGCAAGTTTGTTAATTGATGATATTGAAGATGGATCTTCAATTAGACGAGGTGCATCAGCTGCTCATACGATTTACGGAATTCCATTGACAATTAATACAGCAGAACTTGTTTGTTTTCTTACTATGCAAACAGCATTCAAACTTGATCATCCACGTGTAGGATCTGTTTTAGTTGGTAAGTCGTTTGAGTTTCATTCTAAATGATACAATAGATTGTTTTTATAGATCACTTGGTTGAATTGCACAAAGGCCAAGGTCTGGATATTTGGTGGCGAGAGAATCATATATGTCCAACAGAAGACGAATATTGTCAAATGATTACTGGTAAATCTGGTGGACTCTTTCATTTGGCTATAGAACTTTTACGACTCTTCTCACCACTACAATCTGATATGAAGAAAAATGAATTAATTAATGATTTATGTCAAGCTCTCACATTTCTCTTTCAAATTCGTGATGATTATTGTAATTTGATTTCAGAAGAATACACACAAAATAAGTCGTACTGTGAGGACATAACTGAAGGCAAATACTCATTTCCAGTTATTCATGCTATTAACACTCATCCAGATGATACTCGACTCAGTGACATTCTCAAACAGCACACAGACAATATCGATGTGAAACGAGAAGCTGTTAAATTGTTACATGAATTTGGTTCAATCGAATATACGCGAAATATATGTCTCGCACTGGCCAATAAATGTTATGAACTTATAGATAAACTAGAGGGCAATATTTATCTGGGTATGATTATCAATCAACTAGCAGCTATTTTTCAAGTTCCAGCAGAAAATAAAATGGAATAATTTAAAAGACTATTTAATAAAATTTTTGCATGTTTTCACTTTTTGATTTTTTTTTAATTCAATAAATCATACCAATAGTTAATAGTCTATCTTTGAATATTATTCAATCTGGTGAACAATCTGTATTTGTTCTTAAAAGAAAACAATACGGCTGAGAAGATCTTGTTAATAAAATAGAATTAGGCAAAAACTTGTCGATACTCAATAATGGATGTTATTGACAGAGAACAGGTTAATGTTCCTTCAAACAATTAACAAAAGAAAATGAACTGATAAATCATAGAGATAAATACGAATATACAATCAGAATAAAGAAATTTGATTTGATATTTAGAATGAGACTACAATATATAGATGATAATACATGTGATATAAATCATCATTATAACTTCTACTAATTTCATATTTGATTTTTAGATTATTTGTAGTATTTGATTACATTTTCATCCAATTTAAACATGTGAGTATATATGAAGAGGCAGAATTCTTCTCGAACTCGTACTCTTTCAGCAACTCAATCACATCAGGATGTGGATGTTGGTTAGGTTGTTTCCATTATCCCATCCCCACACCCGCACCCTCATTTATTTTAACTACTTTTATCAATACCAAAGAAATTATATTTCTCTTTTATTTGAGAAAAAAAAATTAATACATATAATGCATAGTACTTGACTAAATCAACAACTTTTTTATTATAGAGCAAACTGAAATAAAACGATTTAAATCTTGGTTAAGTCATTCTATTGAAATTGATCAAAAATAAATAAATGCACTTAATCCTCTCGCGAATGGTGTCACTTTAAAACGTCATTGAAATTTCACGTGCTCGAGTGTGTGAGAACTCGAATTTTTTAGCATAATACAACGAAAACATGAGATCAGTGGGTCACGTGGATATCCAAAACAGTTTTTCGGAATGTTTACGAAAAACAATAAAATGGTATTAGAAGTTGTTTTTCTATTTATTTAACATCACTATGCAGAACTCTCATGCCATGTACAAGACGAAAAACTCGAAACTTTCAAAGTTTTGTTTGCAAATTGCTCGAGAGCTCATTAATGAATACAAATATAGTTCTAACATCGATTTTCTATAGCAAAAACTAATGGTTGTATAAATTGTTCATTAGAATTTGTTTTGTCCTGTAGGTATAGTAGTCATCGGCATCTGCTGTGTGCGACCACTTTTGCCTAGAATATGTTGCATGTATTTGATAATAATACGATAAAATGATTGTCGGAAGGTAGTTGATGAAGAGAAAAACAGGAAGAATGGTGACACATTGTTAATATATAGCACATAATTACTTGTTATACTATAAACAAGTGATTCGATAGCGATACGGTCTGAACTTTTATAGGACCAATTCGTTATAGCTGAGTATAGTACATTGCTGGGATAGAAAAGATTTGTAGTGACGTACATAATAACAAGTGCCGAAAGCATTCGTATAAATTGTTGATCACGTGATTTCAATGTCACGCGATTCACAACAGATGGTTGAATACGACGACGTAACGAACGTAAATTTTTGACTGTCAGTAGAATGAATAAAACCATTGATATTACAGGAAAAATACCAACTACAAGAAAAAAGTATATCGCATAGGGTATTATATAACTATTAGCATTAACACATTGATTGTTACGAATAATTGTAAAGAATGGCATATGTATTGCGATTAATGTCCAAATGAAAGGAACTACAACTATAGCCCATTTAACATATCGCATATCACATAAAGAACGTAAATTTGTACGAGAAGAAGTAAGTGCAAAAGAGGCAGCACTTGCGAGTGTAATATAACTGCGAACAGTCATCAACAAAATATGTCGAATATAGATACGTATTTTACAGAAAACAATGGAATACGTATCTGGACTGGTATGATCAACTCCATAGAGACTCGTACCAATGCCATAAATAAGTACAATTATATTAAAGATTGATGCAGCTGTAAGCAGAAGTGACATGGCATTCGAACGAAGTTGTTTTTGACGAAATACAACGCAAGATATAAAATTTCCTATGAAGCCTACGACAAGTGGAACGACTAGAGTACGAGTTATTTGTTTTTGGATGTTAGCCAAGTAGACTACAAATGCATTTGATGATGTTGTGTTTGTAGTCATTATTAATAACAAATGATCTATTCAAGAAAAATATATCATTATAAGGAGAAAACTATCCACCTGCTTGTATTTCTTTGCAAACGTCAAGATCATTAACAAGAACACAACTCTCAAGTAATTATAGAAAAAATAGTAAAATAATGAAAACAGAAATATTTTCTTATTGTATTCTCTGAATTATACTTAACTAGAACTTTCAATTTTTTGACTATTCAAAAAAAAAGAGAATAGACGATTCATTTACATGCATTAGTAATAGCATGCTGACGGTGAAAAGAGTAGTCGAGGCATTAAAATAATATGCTTTCTCTAATGTGAATATTAATTAAATAAACACAGTGTCTTATATTTTGCTTTCTTATTTCTCTAAAAGATCGACATTGTTTCGCCACTATAAAAATAGAACTAATTTATTTTTCTCTGACTCCACAATAACATGCAATGAATATAAGTATCATACTCACATTCACATTCTAAGTTTATATATGAAAATTTTCATAAAATTGTTGACGTATCGCATCAGTATGAGAAAAAAAAGTAACTAAATATTTTGATATTATTACTTATTCAATATTAATATTAAAATATTACGTTACATTTCTAATATCAATGAAAACATATTAGAACTACTATTAATAAAATGCACTGAGATTGCTGAGCGAACATCTATCTATTTATGTCTATAAATATACTCGAGAAATAATGTAGATGATCAAGACTATTGTTGTAATATGCTATAATATTTCGCAAAACAATTTCTTACTAAAAAAATCAAGCTGTGACTTATATTTTATATGCATATATGTTTCTCATGAAGAAGTAGAGATAAAATATATTCTTGGAAATTTTAGTAAATGTGATGGCTAGAAAGAGCAAAACTAATCTTCATAATGAAACTCAAAGACGGTAAGAACTAGAACGATATATTTAGCTTAAAAATTCTAATGAGCACGTCACACATTCTTTTTCTCTTCCGCCTTTGAGCTTTATATGACAAATACGAATACTCGAGGCATTTATATTAAACTAATGTTAATGAAAGAAACAGATACGAGTTTATTGTCATTTGTCACATCTGATTTTTCCATGTTATTATTAATGTAATGGCACAAGCTATTATTTTATTTGGAACAGTTATCAAAGATAAATTTATATAACAAGAACCTTAAAAGTCTTTCTACACATTTTATTTTTTTAAAAGAAAAGAATTATATTTCCTAGGGACATTTTCTTATGGTAAAATATGTTTAAAGGGGATAATTATGAACTAATAATTAATATCATACGATCTAAATTGAGTCCTAGGATGACCGAGATATTTTCTTCGATTCGAAAACTAAGTATTAAATTTACCATGAAATTAAGTCTTTATATTTATTTGAGTATATTGATGAAAAAATATTATTTTTAAAGTCAATATTCTGAATCATTATTTATTTTAATTGATTTTAAAACAAATTTCAAAATCTATTTTGATGTTTAAATAGAATTTTTTGATGTATAGATAAAAGGATGATCTTGTGTTGGACATTCGAATCCTTCACCTTGATGCCATGAATATTTTTTAGTACCAACTGATTCAAACATATTATTCCAAAGTGATAACGATGCAACTGAATGACCTTTACCTAAAATCAAAAACAATATAATATGATGATTATACGAGACAAAAAAAAAGAAATATACCGCTAAAATGAAAACAATCTGGAGAAAAATAACTAAAATCAATTTTATCGGCTTTTCGTGGAGGTACAGTTTTAGCCATGAATGGTTGAACAACAACAGTAAAATCATCACGACCATCGTAACGACCGGAATTGATTAAATCAACAACACCTTGTTGATATTGAGGAATCCATTCATTTAAAATTTTTTCTTGTTCTTCAGTTGGATACGCTGCACATGGACATGCTCTTTTCTGAAGAAGTCCACAAATAAAATTGCCATTTTTAAGTTCTTTTGCTGGACGAACATCAAGTACAAGTGCAAGATTTATCAATGTACGAGGTAAATTCGCATTGTATAAGCGATCAAGTGTATCACGAATCCAACCAACAAAATTAGCTGGATCATGTTTTTGCATATCAGTACAGAAATCACATAAATCATTTCCCTAAATAAATCAATTAAAATGAATAGAAATAAGACAAAAAAAAATGCATACTCCAATAAAGAATGTTATTAATTTCCAATCATTATTCCAATCACATATTTCTTGATTTCTCAAACGATCTAAAAGAAGATCAGCTTGTTCAACCATATGATAAGAACGAGCACCTGATTTTGCTAGAAAATAGAAATTTGAACTAATAATAATTATAAAAAA